TTATATATAAGTGAACCTTAATTTAATCATAATTTATTTGTTACAAAAAATTAATAAAAGAATTTTACAGACCAAATATGTAAATCATCTCTCAATATTTTTGAATTAAAGCAAATCTGTCACCTTAAAAATTTTATTTAAAAAAAATATTATACGGCATCTTAAAATAAATAAGTAAATATAAATACCTTAAATTAAAAATTAAATGTATTAATTTTTTTAATTAAGGGCTGAAACGGTTGATTTGTGTTTGTTTTTAATTGAGGGACTGATTTGCCACCATTCACTGAGTATAGGGGTTGATTTACCTTTTTGCATTTTTTTTTTAGATTTCAATTATGCTTGTTCAATTTCAGTGTATCGGCTGGTATATCAAATTTCAGTCTGTACACCAAAATTTGACTAAAATATTTGGATTATTATCGAAACAAAATTCAAACCCATACGATTTTGATCAACTTAAAAAACCAATATGAAATGATACAAACAATTATGGTTCATACCTTGATGGCTCCAATGTAAACTAGGGGATCTGAATACTTTGCCTCTAGTGCCTTTGGATCTCAAGAAATTAGCATACCCTTATTATTTACCACACTAACTTGGAACCTTGGAAACAAAAATGATACAATTGGTGCAAGTAACTATAACCAATGAAAGTAAAAGAAGGCTTGAGGAGAGAGTATTAAAAGAAAGTAATAGATTGTATAACTAAAAGAGATATCACAAAATTGGATGAAAAGGTTAAACTCCTATTGCTAGGGAAGTAAATATTATACTTGTTACTCGGGCCTCAACCTTGAGATCAAGCACAACCTATAATTTTTCATTTGAAATAGTTAAGCTACGTTGGGATTTCAAGTTAAGAGAAATATATGATAATTCAAAATATTGCAAGAAACCATTTTATCTACAAGATCGAGACCTTCATCTACACCAATTGAGTGCCCAAAGCAAAAACAACGAAACCCAAGATTTTCAACCAAAACCTTTTCAAGGAATGATTTCTGCAAAAGTTTGTAGACATAAACGAATATTGATGAAGTGATGTACCCAATATTTTTAGAATATATATATATATATATTTTGTCTCGAATGAAATTCAAAACATACCATATTAGCCACAAAATCATTATGAGAACAAATATAACAAGAATCAAGAACTTTAAGGAGAATAAAATGGTTAGAAATTTTTATAGAGGGAACAATTAAAAGGAAAAAAATACATATAATCTATTTAAGAAAATTTTATGAACACATACACTATACATAAAAGGCAAGGGAACTAAATTGCTTATTATCATGAGCTTCACATTTTAATTTTTGTGGAAATGGACATACCAATATTTGAAGTCTTCTAACATCCAAATAGATACACGGTTGAAAAAAAGTAACTCTAGGATATGATATAAAAACTATTACATGACGGATTATGTGAATAAATTAAGCCAAAATCAAAAGAATCTAACCCAACACAAGAGGAAAAAGTTTAGGGTAAACTAACAAAAACAATTGGCAATTCCATTAAACATATCATAATTTGTGGTTAGCTTGTGCATTATCCCTTGCAAGACTTTGTCTATTTCTTGCTATTTTCTTTTTGCCTTGAGGAATTTCATGATGTAATGATGATTAAAAGTTGGAGTTA